AAAATAAAATAACAATCTCAGACTAGGAAGTGTTTATCATAGGAGGAAATAAAAAATAACGATCTCAGACTAGGAAGTGTTTATACTAAGAGAAGATAAAAATAATTATGTGTACAAGTATAAAAATAAAAATGGTGATAGGTTTTATCGTAACTCTGTTATCCAATTTGAACCTGTGAAACAATGTTTATTTCAGCAAGAAAGCTTTTTTATTTCAAAAAAAAATTGTGAGTTTTAAATTGGTGGTTGATTTGTGGCCTTGGCTTTGAAGATGATTGCTCCTGTTATTGCAATGTTGAACCATATCAGTTTGGGCAGACTGTTTCCGTTTGCTAGTCAGCCCACCTTGATAATCTTGAAAACATCTTCAGATTTGTTATATTGTTTCCACCCTGAAACAATAATTGAATCTTGTATTCATATAAATTCTCAAAAATTGTCAATTGTTTACAAGTTACTATGCATATCATTATTTCTTAGATCATATCACGATTGATGTGCTGACCAAACTTTATTTTGTGCAATTGAAGAGATGGTAGCAATTTTGAAATCATTTTCCGCTTGCTTAATGAAAACTAACTCAAGATCGAATTGAGTGACACAAAATAAGAAGAAATAATATTTGACCCATTTGAGAAAAATAATTAAATAAAAATAAATGGACTCCATTGATAGTGGTGGTCAGTTCTAATGATCATGACATGCATTCCGGATTAAATGGCTTGGTCTGTCCAATCAATCTAAACTTTATCTTCGTCAAACTTTCAACTTTGAAGTCAGACTTCTATAATCCAACTTTTGCATTAAATTTATGACTAACACTTGACTTCTGGTGCCTCAAAAGGTTTTCACTAACAAGTCTCTCTCTTTTTTATTATCTCTCACTCACTATCATCTTACGGTGCCCTGAGAGTTTTCCCCAATAATACTCTCTCATTTTTCACTTTCTCTCAACTCAAATGATCTCTTATAGTGCTTTCGATGATTTTCATCTATAAGATTCCCTCATTTTTCACTCTTTATGCGAGTGGCATGACATTTTTCCAAGTATGATAATCAACATTGAAAGCTTGCTTGACTTGTTATTGTTAAAAAATGATCAGAAAGTTTTTATTTGGACTGTAACGTGACTTTTGGACAGGGTTACAAAGAAATGATTGGCATGAAAGCTCAAAGATATTGTGGTAACAGGGTTAAAGCTTACAACTTTTGGAATCGACTTTTTTTATTTTGCAAAAATAAAATAATAATAATTGCCCATGTTTTTGTGATGAGGACTTTCTAGACTTTTTTTTTGGTTGGACCGAACCTCAAAAAAAGGCTGCCTATATATCTTGTCAAAGCAAAAATCAGGACAAACGTAGTTCAAGAAATTTGTTCTTTTGTTGTTATTGATTTTTCAACTTTTTTTCACTTTTTTTTTCTTGACTCTTTTTTTTTGTGACTTCTCTTTTTCTTTTTTCTTTTGAATTTATGATTCTTTTTTTTTCTTTCTTTTTTGACTGTATTTTGATTCCAAAAGAGGGGTATGAAAGAAAATAAATAAGGCTCAAAAGGGGTAGGAAAGGATTACACGGTGTTTGGATAGTAGAATGAAATGTCTTCGTCATATCAATTATTACAAATGTCAAATACAAGCATGCCTTTTAAGATGTGAAGTGAAAATCATACATTATCTCTTTGCAATGTATGCATTGATGGATATGTTTATCATTTTTTTCCATATTTGTCAGCTTGAAATCTCCATTTGAGTATTACCTTCTTGACAACAAACGGCATACGTTAATTTAAATGAAATTTATTCTTTTAACCATTTTCGATACTAAAGGACGTATCAAGGTGTTTAAGTCCTTTATTCATTTGCTCATTTTTTTTACTTCTTTGGTGTATTCATCCCATGACTAGATATAACATTAAGATCTGATCAAATCATCTTGCATATCGTGTCACAAAAATTGAATTGAAAAGAGATGCATATATGAAAAGCCCAATAGAACGGATCAAAGTGACACAAGACAAATATTATATTAAGATAAAAGGACTTGATAACAAGACAACAAACTAAATTTTAGGTTACAACTCTATAATAACTTAAACTATGACAAGACTCAACAAACAAAAACATAAGAGAAATGATAGAAATGTCTGACTTACTAAAATAAAAATAAAAAGAATTGCATAGCAGAAATGATGACAAAATAAACTATCTATACACAGAGAAAAGAAGAGTGTCTCCCAATCACCAAGCTTGACTTCTTAGCCACTTCTTTGCACGTTAGCCTTCGTAAAAGCTCCACTAATTTCAATTATTTTTTCTTCAGAATTGAGAGAATTGTCATCACCCATCATCTTGATGAAGTGTACATCATTAGGTGTTGGTAGAGGATTCTGAGTAACATTTGGGGGATTATCATTTTAGACCACAATCATCTTTGCTTGGATCATCTTTTCCACCTCACTTTTCAAAGTTCGACAATCTTCAGTACTGTGCCCTAGGGCATTAGAATGGTATGCACATCGTGCTATAGGATTGAAACCTTTTGAGCGTGGATCTGTAGAATTTTGAGGAATCGGCTCTATCATATTCAAATGCTTCAATTTCTCAAATAAATTCATGTAAGACTCTCCAATTGGTGTGAAATTGTTCACGGGTTTTTGACCTCCTTCAAATCCCTGTCTTGGACGGGGATTATAAGGTGTACGAAAATTTTGAGAAGAAGGACGTATATTTTGATATGTTGGCGCTCGCCATTGAGGATAGTTTGGTGGATATGTATATGGTTGTGCATCATAGACTGCATATTGAGGTGGGACAATAGAGTATTGTGTGTCTTGCATGGGGAGATAGTGATGAAATTGAGGTGGTGCATATTGATAAACTGGATCCCTTAGACCTTTTTGTGTGTCAGACACAACATTTGCTACATCCTCCTTCATTTTCTTTCCCCCAAGATTTCCTGATCCATTTTTAATCACCTGTGTGGTGGCTTTCAAGGCAGCTTGACTTACAATTTTTTCAGACTTGATGCCATTTTCCACCATTTCACCAATCTTAATAACTTCAGTGAATGTTTTTTCAACAACGAAAAGTAAATAATGAAAGTAGTCTGGTTCTTGCGCTTGGAGAAAAACATCAATCATTTCAGACTCTTTCATTGGTGGCTTAACCCTAGCAGCTTGCTCCCTCCACCTGATAGCATATTCACGAAAATTTTCAGTGGTCTTTTTCCTCATGTTGGTAAGTGAAGTACGATCTAGAACTATGTCGATGTTATATTGAAATTGTTGAACAAAACATCGAGCCAAATCATCCCATGTATGCCAGTTAGAAGTATCTTGATCTATGAACCATTCTGAGGCAATTCCCATCAAACTTTCCCCAAAATAGGCCATGAGCAATTCTTCTTTGCTTCCAGCCCCTCTCAGTTGATTACAATATCTCTTTAAATGAGCTACAGGATCTCCATGTCCATCATATTTCTTGAACTTTGGAGTTTTAAAACCGATGGGTAGATGACCGTGGGAAACATGCACAAATCATTGAATGAGACATTCTTGTGACCTCCCAATCCTTGCATATCTCTTACACTTTGTTCCAAACTCTTCATTTTTCTAGCCATTTCTTCATGTTCCTCATTCTTAACATCTTTTTCAGCTTCAACAGGGGAACTATATTGATGAGTGTAAGGGTAAGAGCCTGAAATTTTAAAAGTCACTTCAAGGGTATAATCTCGATCATATTGAACTTTAGGTGGAGGATCACTCTTGGATTGTGGCTCCATTATAGGTTGCGGGACGCTATTAGTCGGCACAGTTGGCACGAAGAATGGATTACTCGTCATAGGTCTACTCAAAGGGCGCACCGTAGAAGTTCCAGCTACGTTGGATGCGTTAGCATAGGGACCAAATTCAGGTGGATAAATTGGATCACTTATCGATACTTGGATAGAGGGTGACATATTTGTATTTAGATAGTCACGGATTGAAGACAGTGGAGCTTGTCCACTCATCCAAGCTTCGTACATCTCCGCCATTTCCTATTTTAGTATCCTTACCTCTTCGGTTGACACTGTTTCTTATGACATCCTCTGGTTCTGGACCTCATCATTGTCCAACTCATTTCCGTGTTTCTGAGTCATTTTTTTTTCCCTTTTGACCTTGTATTGTAGGGATGAGATGCCAGCATAACCACAAACCAACCACCTTAATTTAACTGTGTGCATGGACAATAAAGTTTGTAAGGGTTAGACATTTCTTCATTATTAATTTATTTTTAAAAAAAATTGATAATGCATTGATCAAATCCGTAACATGTTTGAGAATGTGAATAAGATCATTGCATATTTTTTCTAAAACTCAATAACTATGTTATTTTTAGAGCTTTGAGATAAAATCTTTTAGTTTTCTTTTGAATTATTAAAAGAAAATTAAGAAAAACTTGTTTTTGATAAAGATTAAAGCTTTTTGTTTTTTGTTTTTTTTGAATTTTTGAAAAAAGGGTTTTTATTTTTATTTTTGAATAAAGATCACCGAACCCAAAGAGGGTTGCCTACGTATCTTATTGGAGTGAGAATCAGGTGTGTGTAGTTCATCCAGTTTGGACAGTTAAAAACTTTAAGATATTAAAACTTCTTTTTTTGACAAATGCATTATTATTTAAGACTTTCTAAATAAATACATTTTTAATGTAGCTCATAAAAAGATCTAAGTGGTCAAGTAAGATATAAATACTTGTCCTAGACGAACTCAATTCTTATATCAAGTTACCAAGTCAAATACAAATTATGCAAATGAGTGGAGCCTACTAGTGGTAACCATGACCTAAAGGAGATAGGTGTCTAGACTGACTTACTCAAGTGGACAACTCAAGCCAGGGAGGGGCAACTTATCGGTAGCAACGCTATTCCGACTTCTGATCCAATCCCGCCTAAGATATGTGATTAAATATCCTTCACTGGGTGTCAAGACACTCCAGCTTTATCTCAAGGGAAAATAGGACGCATAACTGCATTAGTGTGAATGTGTGTTAAGTGTATTCAAAGACTCATAAGGTGTGTGTGAAAGAAAAAGAATTTAGTATAGTTCAATAATATAAATATAAAAATCAATAAATGAGTAGCAAGTAGCACATAAGGCCATCAAACACAATATATCCAATAAAATAAAATAATAAAATCAAGTAAAAGTCAATATAACAAAGCTCGAATTCTGGTTATTCTCCAGCGGAGTCGCCAGAGATGTCACACCTCTTTTTGCGCATGACGGATAGCGTTTTTCCAATTAAAGTGACAGTATTAATTAGGAATTATTTTTATTTTTCAGAGTCGCCACTTGGAATTGAGTTATGGTGTTCCAAGTCACCTTTATGAATCCCTAATCAATAGGAAGTGACTCTTTAGTTTTGGTCTGCGAACCAGAAATTTGGGTAAGGAATTCTGTTGACCGAGGGGAAGGTATTAGGCATCCCTCGAGTCCCGTGATTCTAACACGGTCGCTTTTATTGACTTCTACCTACTTTTAAATTATTTGTGGACATATTTTATATGCTACAATTTCGCTCACATTTTTATTGTTTAACTTTTATTTGGACCTAGATGCGTAACCGCATTCTTGGTTTCGATATTTAGAGACATAACTGTCTTCTTTGCATCACACTTAATATTATTATTTTTTATAAATTTCTGTTTTAAATTAATAAACATTAATTATATTATTGGACAAGGTGTGTTACCACATCCTTGAGTTTATTTTTAATTATCTCAAAAAATATAAGCAACCGCATTATTAATTGAAACAAATATTTTGAATATACCTAAAAGTTCATCTAAAGTTAAGAGAAAATATTTGTTCCTTATAAAAAATAATAATCAAATAACATAAAAAGGAAGGCAAGGCAGCTATGCTGATAGGAGATATGGACGTAACAAGGCTGATGATCCATGTGCAACAGGTTGGGGAGGACAAGCTAAGGGATAGAGAAGAGTTTAGAAACAAGAAGGATAATACATCAGGGAATGAGTTCAGGCAGAAAAAGAGTAATGTGAACCGGTCTTGTTTCCAACGTAAGCAAAATGGACCTGCTCCATCATCTGCTAGAACAGGGGTGAGTTCAATAATTAGAATTCACAGAATTTCAGAGCTTAACCTGCACAGTCTCAAGGTGGTGTGGCACAAGGAGGTAATTGGACTCCTACATGTGCTAAGTGTGGTAACAACCACCCAGGGGAGTGTCGTGAGGGCTCCACTAGTTGTTTCAAGTGTGGTCAAGAGGGTCACTTCATGAAAGAGTGTACTAAGAACAGGCAGGGCAATGGAAATAGGGGCAATAGAGCCCAATCTTCTTCAGTTGCTCCACCAGAGCTGCACCTAGAGGAGCTACTTTAGGGACTAGTGGAGGAGAAAACCGCCTATATGATATCACTAGTCACCAAGAGCAAGATAATTCGCTAGATGTTGTCACTGGTATGATCAAAGTCTTTACTTTTGATGTTTATGCTTTGCTAAATCCAGGAGAGAGTCTATCTTTTGTAACTCCTTATATTGTCATGAGTTTTGTTATTCTTTCTGAGTAACTTCTTGAGTCGTTCAGTGTTTCTAACCTGTTGGTGAGTCTATTCTAGCTGAGAGAGTTTATCGTGATTATACAATTTCTGTCAATCACAAGAACACCATGGCTGACTTAGTTGAGTTAGATATGGTAGATTTTGATGTCATTCTAGGTATGGACTGGCTTCATGCATGTTATGCCTCAGTTGATTGTAGAACCCGAGTTGTTAAGTTCCAGTTTCCTAATGAGTCAGTCATTGAGTGGAGGAGTAGTTCAGCAGTGCCTAAGGGTCGTTTTATTTCGTACCTTAAGGCGAGAAAGTTAGTTTCTAAGTGTTGTGTCTATCACTTCGTCCGAGTTAATGACTCTAGTATTGAGACACCTCATATTTAATCAGTTCCAGTTGTGAGTGAGTTTCCAGAGGTCTTTCCAGACAATCTTCCCGGAGTCCCTCTTGAGAGAGAAATAGACTTCGGTATAGATATTCTTCCCGATACTCGTCCTATCTCTATTCTGCCATATAGAATGGCTCCAGTAGAGTTGAAAGAGTTAAAAGAGCAGTTGAAAGATCTCCTTGAGAAAGGTTTTATTTGACCAAGTGTCTCACCTTGGGGCGCTCTGGTCTTATTTATGAAAAAGAAGGATGGCTCTCTTAGAATGTGTATAGATTACCGCCAGTTGAACAAGGTTACTATCAAGACTAAGTATCCTCTTTCGAGAATTGACGATCTCTTCGATCAACTTCAGGGTGCGCTTGTTTTTCTAAGATAGACCTCAGATCTGGCTATCATTAGTTGAGAGTAAGAGAAAGTGATATCCCTAAGACAACTTTTAGGACCCGCTATGGTCATTTGAGTTCCTAGTTATGTCCTTTGGTTTGACCAATGCTCCTGCAGCATTCATGGACCTTATGAACAAAGTATTCAAGCCTTATTTAGATATGTTTGTTATCGTATTCATTTATGACATTCTAATCTATTCAAGGAGTGAGGGAGATCATGCTAGTCATCTCAGAATAGTTCTCCAAACTTTAAAGGATAGAGAGTGGTATGCCAAATTCTCTAAGTGTGAATTTTGTCTTAACTCTGTGGCATTCTTAGGCTATATTGTCTCCGGTGATGGAATTCAAGTTGACACTCAAAAGATAGAGGCAGTGCATAACTGGCCTAGACCCACGCCTCCAACTGACAAGGAGTTTCTTGGGATTGGCTGGCTATTATAGAAAGTCCGTCGAGGGGTTCTCATCTATTTCATATCCCTTGACCAAGTTGACTCAGAAAACAGTTAAGTTTCAATGGTCTGAAGCTTGTGAGAAAAGCTTTCAGAAATTGAAAAAGCGGTTGACTACTGCCCCAATATTGACCTTACCAAAGGGTACGCAAGGTTTTGTGGTATATTTTGATGCGTCCAGAGTTGGTTTGGGTTGTGTGTTAATGCAGAATGGCAAAGTTATAGATTATGCCTCTAGACAACTTAAGATTCACGAGAGGAATTACCCAACCCATGATCTAGATTTAGCTGCTGCAGTTTTCGCTTTGAAAATATAACGTCACTATCTTTATAGTGTTCATGTAGATGTTGTAACACCCTTATCCGAAAATAGGAAATTCAGATTTCTGATGTTACAGATGGCACTCACAGACACCATCCACGGACCGTAGGTAGACTAACGGTCCGTAGATAAGGCCACGGACCGTAGTTCGTGTCCGTGGATCGATACCCCAAAAGCCCAGCTTCAGTCCCAATTGACGGTCGACCAGCACGGACCGTCATTCGATCCACGGTCCGTAGGTCTGACCGTAAATGAGGGTCAACAGTCAGTTAGATGAAATTTATTGATGGGTCAACTTCAGATGGTCAAAACTTTTAGCAAAAAAGGAATTGTGTGTCCCATTACCTATGGTTAGATAGATAATTGAATTATCATTCCAACGCCACCGAGTTTGCTAAATTCCGACCTCCGAGTAAAAAGTTATGCTCGTTTTAGTGAAGCCCTGTCGGGCAGACTCGACCTACGGACCCAATCGACGGTCCGTCGATTGATTGACGGCCCGTCAGTCCAAACCGTC